GGTGAAATGAGAATTGATCCATTCGAGCATATGGAGGAGTCAATGGATGAGGAACAAAGTGTTTATATTCTGAAATTTGCCACACCAAGGAAACAAAACGACATCCCTCACTTAAAGGCCAAGAAGTGCAAGATGCGATACCTATTACTTGGTTCCTTTATTTTTACACCACCACCCCAGGAACGTGACACAAAAGTTGATGCGAAAGGGTACAATTCATATCCTCAAAGTGGAAGGAAAAGTGGTGAAAGTGATGGCGTCGTGCCGCGATGTTAAATCAAGCGCTTGTTGGGAGGCAACCTAATTTTATTTTTCTTTTTTACTTTTGCTTATTTTTTTTATTGTGTTATTTTTTGTAGTGTTGTTTTTGTGTTTTGTAGGAGTACGAGCATGGAATCAAAGCCAATAGGCATGTGCAAAAGCGAGCAAGTGGTTGAAACTAAGTGTGAGGTACCCGCACACAGGATCATACATGGGAGAAGTCTGAGTATTCCGTGAGCTGCTAATTCTTCTGCCTTTGGTCTACCAGGGAGTCTCTTTTACCCTCTTGTTATTTTCAGTGTGCACTGAGAACATTGCACAATTTTAAGTGTGGGGTGAGGAGATTGTCTGGGTGATTTTCTGTGCTATCTTAGCTTAGTTGTAGTACTCGTTATTAGTGTAGTAGTTTTTGTTAAAAATAAAAAATAAAAAAGAACGAAAAAAGAGAAAAAAATTAGGAAATTGGGACTTTTCCCGACGATGGATATTGTGGACAGCTTTCTTGAGGGATTAAGGTCCAATAAAAAAATTTAAAAATATTTTTTTTTTTGTTTCTAGTTAGTTTTAGTTAGATAATAATCCCCTTGGTTTTTCTTTTTGCATCGGTTCTTTTCCAGGGGATGTAACTTGAACCGGGTAATTTTTTTATTTTTTATTTATTTTTAGGATTAGATTTTTTTTTGAGTAGTAAAAGAGGGAGAAGAAAAACCTTTATGACTTGTTTGATACTGTCATATTTAGGCCTGAGCTTGAGTAGTACTTTCCTCTGAGTGCTTGAGTAATGAATAAAATAGCTGACTTTCTGACACTTAAGCTCAGGGTTGTGACTCTGTATATAACTTATGTTTATTTTGTTGTTCGCTATGATCTTGTCTGTCTTAGAGTAGAATTGATCCGTCTTGATTGAGACTTGTGCCATGTGTGGTGAGGATTTCTTACATATATTTTTCATATTTTGCATCTTAGTCTAGAACTTGCCCTGCATGTTATTGAAGCTAAATAAAAGTGTTGCTTTGTTTAGAAGATGATAATAGGCTTTCTTTGTTATGTCTTGTGAATTTTAGCCTGTTCAGATATTGTACAACTAGATAGCCCTTTGAGCCTGTAGCCTTTTGTTTGGAAGTCGTATTTTTGCCTTGATCCGTTTGTATGAATCCCTAGCTTTTGCACCCTGCTTCCTTGAGCACTGTCGCTTAGACCGTGATATTAATTGATAAATTTGAAGAAAGGGATGATTAAGTGAAAAATGGTGACCAATGATAGCTGCAAAGTGATTAAAAGGCCTTCATGAAAAGAATGTGACATGAAAAAAGAGAGAATGAAAAAAAACTTGCTTCGAAAAAAAGAAAAGAAATGTTCTTGATATGAGGGAAATACTTGTGAAATAATAGATGAAGAGAGGGCTGAAAAATAAAGTGAACAGTAAAAAATAATGGGCGATGAAGTCTAAAGTGCAAAGTGCTTAGGTAAATGTAAGTCACTATTATATAATTCTCCTATCCATCCCCTAGCCAACATTACAACCCGTTAAATTCCTATTTGATTCTATTCGAGCATACTTAATTAGTAGAGATGTACATAATGGGCAAGCCTATGGTTCTTTGTGCATACATGTGAATTTCTTTGTGAGTGCAAGAGTTGTTCTTTGATGCTAAGTCCTTAGATTATATTCGGTCTTTGATTTGAGTGTATGGAGTATTTATTCTTGTGAGGGCACTGTTTTCATGATAGATAGGTGATGTTATTAGCTTATTTGACAGAATAGGTGAGCGAGCTTAAATTTGATAAGTTAGAGTCCATCTCTGAGGTTAGGAGCTTAGAAGCTTGTTCTTTGTTTGTGACTTGTATATCTTATACGATGATCAGGAAGTATATATCTAATGGTTTGAGTTGCTATAGGGCCTAATTGTTAGTATCAACCGAAGTGGTGGTGTTTCTAGGCTTGATTTATTGAGAGAGGTTTTAATGCTTACTCGAGGACGAGCAAGAGTCTAAGTGTGGGGTGTTGATGTTCGGCCAAAAATGCATATATTTAACCATTATTGCCTCAAATTATAGCACCTTTTAATCGTCTTTTGAGTATTAATTATAGTATTTTGTGCTTAATATTATATTTTAACTGTGTAGGAAAAGACGGTGTGAATATGAAGAGATTTGGAGCAAAACAGAATAAAACACGGAAGGAAAAAAGAATTAAAAAAAGGGGGACACCCTTTGGATTTTGTCCCCCCAAGTGGAAGACAAGAAAAAGGCATATATAATTGAATTGCATTTAGAATGCAATATATGGATGAAAGTGACGCAGCCAAGCAAGAAACGTAAAACTAACTGGTTTCAGCGCCAGGGCTAGCGTTAGGCGCTATCCTGGACGCTGTGTGACGGGGTTTTTCCTATTTCGTCAAGGATAAGATTATTTCGGCCCAAGACGCCTCCCAACCGTATAAAAGGAGTCCTAAACCTGATTTGGACTTAATCTAACATACTTTGAAGGAGAATTCAAGGGGAGGAACACACACCGTGCTTGGATGAGGCTTCTAACTAGTTTTTCTTCTCTTCTCTTCTTTTAATTTCATAGTTCATTATTTCTAGAGATTTGGGGTGCTACATGAACGTTGTAGTTTGAAGCTTGCATTTTTCTTATTATTTTATCATATTGGTTTATTTATTCAATCTTGTGCTTAATTATTTGATTGCTTGACCACCAATTGAATACTATCTATGAATCTAGGATTGAACTCGGGAGAAGAAATTCTAGATTGCATATAAGATTGAGTAGAGCAAGATCTTAACTCTGGGGGGGGGGGGGGGACGGATTTGCGGTTAGGATAGGAATATACCTAATCGCCTTGCTTGGTTACTATACAGGAATTATAAATGCGTTCTTGTTAATCCTAATTCCATAGGAATATAGGCGTTAGGTTAGCTTAAATAGGCGAGTTGTACTTCGGGAGAAGGCTACGAGCAATATTAACCTTGTCAACCAATAAACAAGATAAATTAATTTGACGATTTAAGTGAAAAACTCAACGGGATTGTTAGCTAACCCATAGCTCTAGAATATTCACTCACATTGAATTCGTCTCCATAATTCGCCAACTTCTTTTCTTTAATCTCTTAATTTGTTACTCTAGATTAATTTTAGTTAAATATTCATACTTTAGAATACGCTTGAATAGATTAATTGTTTGGTTTAATTTAGTTGATAGTTAATCACAAGTCTCTGTGGGTACGATATCTGGACTTACAATCCTATATTACTTGTCGACCACGTATACTTGCGTGTGCGTTTGGGAGCAACATTGCTGCAATTTTTTTGGGGTTTTGTGTGTGTGTTTGGGGGGGGGGGGGTAATGGAGTTGAAGGACAGATGGTGAAATGGGTTATTTCATAGACATTTTTATCGGGGTTTATCACAAGAATATTTTTTTATTGGGGCGATAACTCTAAAAAGAATAAATAAATTGTCAAGCTTTTCTTTCATCTCGTGACAAATATGACCAGGAACAACTAATTCAAACCCCTCCTTTCTTTTTTTACCATTAACAATAACTTGTTTCAGTTAGGAGTTCGAACAACTGCTTCAAATACTTTTGTTTTAATCAAACTAATCACAGATCAATCAACTTATGAGGAAGAACCGTTTGCAAATGAGGGTAAATTTGGCCCCCATTTGGTAACGGGCAAACATATTTGATCCCAACTATTAATGAAGGATAAATATGTCCTATTTCATATAGTTCAAGGGTAAATATGACCATTTGCCCTAAAATAAAATACACATGGCAAAAATGAAGACAACAGCAATAACATATTCAATATACTTCTATAAATGGGGGTTGGAAAGGATAATGTGTATGTATACCATACCCCTACCTTGTGAATGTAAAAATATTATTTTCATTTGACTCCCGCCAAGAGAAATATGAAATAGGAGAATAAAGTATAAGAAATTTAAAAATAAAAAATACGAGAATACTCTATGAGGTCGTTTGGTAAAAAAAAAATTATCCCGAGATCATAATCCCAGGACTAATTTATACGATATGAGAGATAGGATAAAATAATCTCACATTTCGTGGGATAAGGTGGGATAAGATGGGATAATTTGAATTAAGTCAGAGATTAAATTTGTACCTTGTTTGGTTGGCGGTATTATTTATACCGCGAACCAAACAAATTATAAATTTAATCTTACATCTTATCCCAGCTTATACCTCATACCAAACAACCCCTATACAAGGAGGATAGCAAAAGTAAAGGACCCGTTTGCACATAGATTTTGCCAAATTTTTCTCTATTTTTTTTGGCTAATACATGTTTGTTCATAAATATTATCCATGTTTCGGCAAATTCCCAAATCCCAAAACCAGCTTTTGGCCCAAAAATTTACCATTATATATTTTAAAAATTTTAAAAATTGCCTCAAACTTTTGTATTCTATAAAAGAGCCCACTATTTATTATTTTGTAACAATGCTGTTTCGTCTTCTCGGTCATCTGATAGTGTATTATGTAGTTTATTATAAAAATGATAGTTTTGTACCAATTTTATTTATGTTCACTACTATAGTTTATGATAATGATAATGAATTTTATTGATGAAGGTACTGTTGGATATTTGTAATAGTTTTTAGAACTTGTGGTATAAGTTATATTTTATATTTTAAAAAATAAAATAAAACATATTTTAAAAACTTATATCAAACACATTTTCATCCACATAAATTTTCATCTCCAACCAAACTTCATCCCATCTATGGGCCAAACACTAGCAAAGAGAGAGAAAATTCTTAAGACCAGCAACTTGTCTTATGCTAATATTGGGCGCGTTTGGGGCGAAAATTTTGGACGAAATCTCAAATTCCGCCATCTCCCTCAGCATCCACAAATCGATAATGTTTTGGCTTCGTCAATGTCGTAACAATGGCATCACCTATCTGTACTCCACAGCTGCAACTTCCCACAACAATTTGTTGGCGGAAATATTAGTGAATTCACTTGGTTTCTCCAACGAGAAAGCTATTTCTGCTAGCGCCAAGGTAACATTGAAACCTGGAAACAACAAGCCTCAATTAGTCATCAATTTCTTACAACAACTTGGTCTAGACAAGACCCACATCAAATCCCTTGTTTCTTCCAACCCTAGGTTGCTGTTTTCTGATGTCGACAAAACCCTTAAACCCAAAATTAAGGTTTTTCAAGAACTTGGCTTATCTGGGTCAGACCTAGCTAAAGTCATCGCAAAAAGTGGGTCTTTCTTCTTTTTAAGTCTTGATAATTCAATCAGATCCAATCTTGATTATTTCCGGAAAGTGTTAGGTAGTGATGACAATGTAGCTAAGTTTATCAAGAGAGAGCCTAGGTTCTTATGGGGTATTGATGCCCCTAAACTAATGCCACCCAATATATCATTGCTGCAAAATCTTGGGTTTTCAAGTGTTGATATACAAAAGCTTATGCTTTGGAATCCTAGAATTTTTACTCAAAAGGCTGGGCGCCTCAAAAACATAGTGGATCGAGTAGAAAAAACTTTCTTTCTTTCTCGCGATTGCAACATGTTCATACATGGGGTTTATGCACTTGTATGGCTTGACGAATCGACGGTGAAAAAGAGATTAGAAATCTTCAGGAGCTTCGGGTGGTCTGACTCGGAGATTTTTAAATTGGTCCAAAAACTTCCTCTCTGTTTGACAAGATCCGAAGCTAAGATCAGAAATACGTTAAATTTTTTAATGAAGGAACTTGGATATGAGTCTCATTACCTGGCTTCTCATCCCACATTTTTGACATGTAGCTTGGAGAAAAGGATTCTTCCTAGACATAATGTTTTGAAGCTACTCAATGAGAAGGAGCCGACAAAGTGCAGTAAGAAGCTTTATACTGCTGTGATATGTTCTGACTCGAAGTTCTTAGAAAGATATGTGCTGCCTTTCAAGGATGAGATGCCTGAGGTGTATGATATATACATCAAAAGTAGAAGCCAATAGAGCATTTTGTGAGTTTTACCAAATTTATTGATATGTTTGCTCATATCTCATTGTTATCATAGAGGATAAATCATTATGTTTCTACATGGTTGTTCTTGTTGTTGTTTTTCAAATGTGGCTATCTCACTCTGAATGACATGTTTTTTTCTTGAATACTTGTAGATTTTATGCGTATGTGTCTTCAGATGCTTGGTGGTCACAATCATCCTGACAGTAGATGTAATTGCTAAACTCCATCATTAGTTCTTATTTCTCTCGATTCAATTCAGCTACAAACTTGACTATCTAGCTGTACTTTTTTGAACTGCACAGTCCTACGCTTCTTTGCTGTTTCTCTTACTAATGCGGAAGAGAAGTCACCGATGAGGACAAAACAGCACAGATCACTCCTGAGGAGCTAGCAAACTGATTATGTGTTGAATCTACACCAGCTTTTAACTTCACTGAATCTATAATTTTGACATAAATATTTAGAATCAAGTTAATTAAGATGTAGCTGTTTGATCATACTCTTTTATGTATTATCTTAGAAATTTATGTTCACGAGTTTCTACACAATAGATAAAATATGCAGAAGGGACAACACACAAGCTGAAGTTTAACTGTTTTCTTTCTTAGTCTTTTGGCGCAAATGCAGGATGTACAAGATCTAGATAGTTTTTTTTAGTGTTTTTCAGCTCCCTAACAGATTAGTACGGACAGGAACTTTCTTTTAGCAAGGTCCTAGTGGAAACCTTGCTTTTCAATACAGATTAGTACAAGATGGGTTGCTTCAGCTATATGATTTCTGCATCAAAACCAGAAGCTAAGAGAAATTCCTTTGGTGGGGGGATGTTGACTACAGAGCATTCTTTGACAGTAGGGTTTATCCAATTCCTTGTTTGTACTGGTCATTCCTCTTCAAGCTACTGTCAAGCGTTTTACTGCTAATTTGCATTTTATTTCTGTAGAGCCAGTGTTAATGGGTAAAAACTGCAAATACAGGCATTCTCATATTAAAGTAGAAGATGCTTTTGGTGGAGAAGCAAATTTGTCGAATAACTAGCTTTTTTGGTAAATGGAGAAGAAAGTTCGGGGACAAATTAACTCTTGTATCAGTAAAGTCATTTCGTCAATGCTAATCTCCGATCTGGAGAATATATCTTCTTGCGTCTTAAAAAATCTTCTTGCTTGCTAATTCTTTTTTATTCTTTCATTGTGTTTTGTACTTCAAACTTAGATTATTTATGTTAGTATCTTCATTGTCTATGGGAGGTGGACTAATCTCTTCAACATGTCTTAGAAGATCATTTTTCACTGGTGTCAATATCATCTCTCTTTAATAACATGGTGGTGTGGACAAAACATGGGATTCAGTAACCAAAACTAATATGGTTATCCGACAAGAATGAGTCTAGAAAGGGAGAGAGAATCTACTCCACCCATGTCGCTTCTTGTATCGACCAAGACTTTACACCATCGTGACATGCTTTAAATTTCTTTTGGTTTCTCACCCGGTGTCCGGTACCCAAATTGGGGCCCGATTAAATCCGGATTCGCGCCGGAAAGTCCCACAGTGGGGGTAAAGCGCTCCCTAACAAGGGCAACTCCATACCCAAGGCTCGAACCGGAGACCTCTGGTTAAGGACCACAACCCTTGTTGGTTGAATCAAAGTTCTTATGGAAGTATGTACGGTCTTTTAGGAATGATTTCATATTTCTGAGGTGCTTGATGGATACATCAAAGATAGAAGCGATAAGGAAGATTCTTTATGGTAATATGCATATTGCAGATTCTTTGTTTGTGAGTTTAGTTTTTGATATTGTTTACTTAATCCTCTCTGGAGTATTACTGCTAGTTGACATCTGATTGCTGACTACTTGTTAATTTATTTCGAATTTTCTTTGATGTTTCTTAATCCTGTCTAGAATATTTTCCTCTCCTTGTTGACTGCCTCTATTAATCAGTTATACTGCAAATGGAAGGTGTTCTGATTTTGTTGTCCAATGATGCTTTGTAGTAAATGTGGAGAAAATAGTGGAAGTCTTATTTATTTCCTTTGTTTATTTACCTATTCTATGAATCAATTTCTCAATGGGGATTGCATGTTCTTGTTTTTGGCTGAAACTACTAACTCTGTTTCTGTGACAGGGTACCGGGAAATGGAGTGCCTAGCAATAAGGTGCAGTATTTGTTACTAGTAGTACTCTTTATTTTGGATCCTCTGAAATTTTATGACTTGGATGCTCTGTGTCTTTATGCATCTACTCATCTTTCTAGCCTTGTTTGATAAATTGAAGTACTCGCATTATTCAGTGAGGATTCATGTTGTCGACTTCAACTTATTTGGGATTGAGTGGTAACTGTTGTTGCAGAGGCGGATCCAGGATTTGAAGAGGATGGGTGCACTATTGTGAAGATGCGGATTTAGAATTTATATTTGACGAGTTTAACTTTAGTATCTACCATGTACCCACTACACTTTTGAAATTATAGGTTCAAATATATATTCTTTTTAAATTCTTAGTGATTTTCACGTATATATCTATATTCCTTGCCGAAAACAAGACCGTTCCGAGTGGGATTTGAACCACCCAATAATTATTGCACCATAGGAGTCTTTGAGTATGGGTTCACGCACATATAATTAAGTAATTTTCATGAAATATAACATTATTATACATGGTTTAGGGACAAGAATATGGATTCACGTGAACCCATACCCTAAGACTTAGATACGCCCCTATGTTGTTGTACAATTTTTTTTGTCATCATCGCATACCTTGCTTGCGCTCGCTTAGATCAAATCTAGTTCTAGCATGAAACATATCAACAAACTAGTATGAACATCCTATGGACAAATACCAATTACATAGAAATGGTTAAGTGGATATCGCAAATTAAAGCCAATAATTGGCATTAGAAAGCTAATTTCATCTCTCAACTTCCTAGAATGAATAAAGAAATACCAGCTATACCATGCAACAATTAGGCTGAAGTGTTGTGAATATGTGATCGCTTTACTACCAGTAACATGTTTGCGTATCTTTCAATGTTATATTGTTGTTTATTTACAAAACTTCTAACTTTTACAGAACGTTTTGCAGGTGAAGTTTATGTTCAAATTCAATTTTAACTTCCACAAATTGGTTTTCGTATATTATGAGTTATTTCGAAAACTTCTAGACAACATCAATTGCAAGTACAATTGTAATTTTTTAATTTTACTCATGTGTTATTCAAATATGCGTGTTAGATATTAAATATATTTTTATGGAAAAAAAGAGAAAAAGAAAAGTATTTGAAGGGGAGATGCCATGGTGTATGTTATTTGCAGATGATATTGTACTGATTAATGAGATAAGAAGTGGTGTTAACAAGAGACTCGAGGTTCGGAGGCAGACCCTGGAGTCTAAAGGGTTCAAGTTGAGTAGGACCAAGTCAGAATACTTGGAGTGCAACCAGTAAAGCGGACGCGGACGCGAGGTTTGATACACAAGCCATACCTAAGAGAGAGAATTTCAAGTACCTTGGGTCTTGTATTTGAGGAGATTGACGAGGATGTTACATATCGTATTGAAGTAGGGTGAGTGAAATGGAGGCTATGTAATGGAGCGCGTAGTTAAATTGGAGTGTCACACCCCAACCTAGGTGAGGCGTAGCTGGCACTCGGTGCCATACTGGCTCGAGCGAATCGCTTAGTAACTCATGTCGTTCGACGTAAATTAGAACATACATAGGCCGATTTGGCTAAACTCATTCTTTTTGTAAACTATCGTGGCTAACGTGGCCACAACTCGTGATATATAAGCTTCGTGTTAGCGAGCCTTTATACTCAAAACGTATCTGTATGTACGTTCCGAGGAGGCCACTATGAGTACCGACATTGAACAACCCAGAAGGAAATATAAACAAGGAACAACTAGGCTACTGACATATTGTACATAATGTACTTGTGTCTACAAAGCCTCTAAGAGTATCTGACATTGAAACATGGTCGAAACAGGGCCCCAGCCTACCCATAAATCTGTAGTAGAGCTCTGACATCATGACTTATAGACTCGGCTGCACTGCGAATAAAGCAGAGTCTTATCAACCTTTTGGTGAATGCTAATCTCGTCTATTATGAGGGCTTGTCAAATTGATTACCTACACCCGTAGGCATGAATGCAGGGTCCACCACAAAATAGACGTTAGTACAAATAATGTAAGGCAGAACTGAAACATTACAATAAGACAACATCAATTAAAGAGGATAAGAATCAACCCGAACCTCTGAAGTGACGCTGAGGGCCATGATATGCATAAATATACTTATATATTTAATGACTCTCTTTGGGTCTATTATCCATTTCGTAACATGAATGCCCAACTGATTATTGGTAACTGCCCGATCGGCTGTAGTGCGATGGTACATGCATGACTGCCCGACCGGCCGTAGCTCGATGGTAAATGCGTAACTGCCCGACGGTCGTAGCTTGGTGGTAAATGCGTAACTTCCCAACCGGCCTTAGCTCAATGGTAAATGCAGGAAGATCATTTTAGGATCATTAGGACATCTTTTGGAATGACCTATAGTCGTCTACCCTCCGATTACGTTATGAACATTAACATCTTTATCATATGGCTCAATAGGGAGTTAGGAACATACTTAGATATGCTTTGAATTACATTTCACATGAATGGATAAAGTAGATATACCTAACTACTAAGAGTAGAACCATTTATGGAATAACATTACATTTACATTTTGTTACCTGGATCATGCCAAAAGAAGGAAGATGTAACGACCCGGCCGTTCATTTTAAGAATTAACGCCCCAATCCCATATTAACTTCTTTTCCCGTGTTTGTTTCTGCTATTGAGAGTTGCCGGGAGGATTCGTTTTGGATTTCGGAGTGTTTTGCGACACTTAGTCCCCCAATGAGAGCTTAAGCTTTAAAATTTGGACCGTAGTCGGAGCAGTGTGAAGACGGCCTCGGAATGGAATTCCGTCGATTCCGTTAGCTCTGTTAGGTGACTTCGGGCTTAGGGGCGTGTTCGGATTGTATTTTGGAGGTCCGTAGCTTATTTAGACTTAATGCCGAAAGTTGATTTTTTTTGAAGTTTCTGGTTCGATAGTGAGATTTTGATATAGGTGTCGGAATGGAATTCCAAAAATTTGAGTAAGTCCGTGGTGTCATTTGGGATGTGTGTGCAAAATTTCAGGTCATTCGGACGAGGTTTGATAGACTTTTTGATCGAAAGCGGAATTTGGAAGCTTTGAAGTCCTTAGGCTTGAATCCGAGGGTGACTTGGTGTTCAGGCGTTGTTTTGAGTGTTCCGAGGGTTGGTACAAGTTTGAATAGTGTTATGTGACTTATTGGTGTGTTTGGTTGAGGTCCCGAGGGCCTCGAGATGGATTTGGATGGTTGACAGAGAGTTTGAGTTTTGGAGTTGTGCTGCAGATTTTCTGCTTCTGATATTTCCTCACCTGCGGATTGGGGACCGCAGTTGCGACGCCGCAGATGCGGAGAAGAGGTCGCAGAAGCATATTTGGGTCAGCTGGGGGCTTGGCCGCAGATGCGGTGATTTGGGCGCATCTGCGGGACTGCAGGTGCGGTTCCTGAACGCAGATGCGGCCCTGAAGAAGTTAATGAAAAACCGCAGATGCGGTTGTCTTGATCGCAGATGCGATCCGCAGAAGCGCTATTGAGGCCGCAGGTGCGGAATCCCTGGGCCAGGACCTATATAAGGTTTCCTTCGCGATTTTCAACTCTATTCGTCGGATTGAGAGCTTTTGGGGAGATTTTGAAGAGGGAATTCAAGGGAACTTCGTGGAGGTAAGATTTTTGGAACCAAAACTCGTTTCTATGGTGATATTTTATTGATTAGAAAAGGAGTTTATGGAAATTAGTGGTTAAAATTGGGGGTTTAGGGTTTGAAATTGGAGACTTTGATTTAAGGATTTGAGGGGTCGTTTGTGGTCGAATTTTGATGTATTTGGCATGTATGAACTCGTGAGAGTGTAAGGTTTCTAGTTTTGTGAATTTTATTCGATTCCGAGATGTGGGCCCGGGGGACTTTTTGGGCGATTTTCTTAATTTCGCGTGTTAGCTTCGAATTAAGTAGTTAAATTAGTTACTTGAAGTTATATTTACATTATGCAATTAATTTGAATAGATTTGGGCCATTTGGAGTCGGATACTCGTGGCAAGAACGTGATTTCAAGTTGATTGAGCTGGTTCGAGGTAAGTGGCTTGCCTAACCTTGTGTGGGGGAAACTCCCCTTAGGATTTGGTACTGTTGTTATATGAGTGCCGCGTACGTGAGGTGACGAGTGCGTACACGTGCTAATTGTTGAAAAACACCATTTTCATTAAGCAGATATCTATGTTTTCTTGTAATTGAGCAATACTTGTACGTGAAGCCTCTTGTTTAGTTTATGAAAAGCATGCTTATGTGATTTAATTGTCTTACCTGCTTCAACTGATTACTTGTATTTTGTGCAGCATGTTTAGAGTAGAATTCCTGTTTATTCTCGAATAGAACTGTAGATTCTTTCTTAAGACTGTTGTGTGTTTACTTTGGGACTACGGATCGGTATTCCGGTAGATCCCCCTGCATATTTATTTGGAACTATGGGACAGCACCCGGTAGATTCCCCTGTAATGGATATTTACTTTGGGATTACGGATCGGTATTCCGGTATATCCCCCTGCACATTTATATTTGGAACTACGAGACAGCACCCGGTAGATTCCCCTGTACTGGATATTTACTTTGGGACTACGGATCGGTATTCCGGTAGATTCCCCTGCTTATTTATATTTGGAACTACGGGACAGCACCCGGTAGATTCCCCTGTACTGGATATTTACTTTGGGACTACGGATCGATATTTCGGTAGATTCCCCTGCACATTTATGTTTGGGACTACGGGACGATATCCTGATAGATCCCCCTGTTGCTATTTCTGAGTACTGAGTTATATTCTTTCCGTGTTTTTATTCTTTATCGACTGTTAGCACTTTAATCATACTGCTTCATTTCATACTGCTTATATATATATATATATATATATATATATATATATATATTTTTTATTCTTTATCGACTGTTAGCACTTTAATCATACTGCTTCATTTCATACTGCTTATATATATATATATATATATATATATATATATATAAAACCAGTAGGGCCCTGACCTTCCTCGTCACTACTCGACCGAGGATAGGCTTGGCACTTACTGGGTACCGCTGTGATGTACTCATGCCCTTTCCTGCACATGTTTTTCGTCTGCAAATCCAGGTTTTGCTGCTCAACCGTCCTATCAGTGAGGTAGTCAATATCAGAGACTTCGAGGTATATCTGCCGCGTCCGCAGATCCAGGAGTCCCTCTCTATTCTTCCCTTTAGCTTTAGACTTCCTGTATTTACTTTTGATTTAGACATTCTGGAGTTAGAACACTATGTAGTTTTCCATAGCTTGTGATTTCATGAGATTCCGGGTTCTGGGAGTGCCTTGTGTTCAGTTTGAGAGAGTGA